AGCAGTGGCAGACAACTGACTGCTATTCAATCTATAACAGAGAAAAAAGTTTTTTGTTTTTAAATCAAAGCTATTGTGACACCAGATGTAATTGGTGGCACTGACTGGGGAAATGGGCACAGTATGCACTGTGAGCCTGACACAGAAGCTGGCAGCAGTGGCAGACAACTAAGTGCAATTACATTACATAGAAAAAAAAAAATTAAAAAAAGCATACCCTAACCCTAACCTAGCTATGCTTTTCCCTATCTAATGAACAGCAGCTACACTTTCCCTCCTCTTACTAAGCATGCAGCTTGAGAATGAATCTAAAATGGATACCTTCCAGGAGGTGGGAGGGTCTGCTAGGGAGGGTGTGCTGCTAATTGGCTGGAATGTGTCTGCTGACTGTGAGGTACAGGGTCAAAGTTTACTCAATGATGACGAATAGAGGGCAGGTCAAACCGCGCATATGTTCGCCCGCCATGGCGAACACGAACATGCTATGTTCGCCAGGAACCGTTCGCCAGCGAACCGTTCGGTACATCACTAATTACGGGCTCCCCCTCAGGTCTTGATCTTGGGGCCCGTTCGAGCTGTGTGCACATGTGCTGTCTGCCCTGCCATCCGAGCAGACAGCATATCGGCACGGATTCAACTTTCGTCACGATCACCATGGGGCTCCTCCCCTTTGGTGACGCAAAGCCTCCTATGTGCCAGCTCCACCCCAGACCTCTCTCCGATACGCATGCGTCTCACCTACACGTGACGCATGCGTTCCAGTGAAAACCACTTGACACATGCATTCCAGTGAAAACCACGTGACGCGGAAGTAAATTAGCCACTCGTCACGTGATTTTCATTTTAGATAATTTTTAACATACTAGCATCACGTTTTTAATATTTATGTGCATAAATATCCCCCCTAATATATCCCAATATGGTCTGCAATACTATTATTCATTTTCAATATGTATATTTTAATTAAAGCTGTAATGACGTTATTTTGGCGGGAACTTTCACATTTTAATACAATCAATGTACCCTATATAAGGCCATTTATGTCAGGTTTATGTTTTTACTATTTTCTACTTGAAGAAGCCTGTTGTAGGCGAAACGCGTCTAGAAATAGTTTTTATTTTGTTATAATAAAGGAATTTTGGCTTTAAATATTCTGGTTGCCATATTCCTTTCCTATTTTAATCTATTTTTTTCTTCTATTTATATTATTTTATTTTTAACCTCACTACATTGATTGTTACCACCCAAAGAGAAGTTTAAAGAATCCTTAGGTGGGGATTGTACCACTCATACGCTGTACATCGAGCAGTGAGCCTGCTCAACACACGGTGAGTACATTTCATACTTTTTATTCCTTTACTACAGTAAGACGCAGTGAGCACTATATATTTTATTCTTTTTACTTTTGGCTGGAATTATACCGCCGCTGGACTTCTGCATTACGAGTTACACTTCTTATATCCTTGAGTGGGGATTATTCCACTTCACGCATTCCATACCAGAGCTGGGTTTTAACTCTATATTTACTTACTGCACCATTGGATTTTCGTCTTTCTGCTTCTTTTCCATATGTTTTACTGAAATTACAAGCTTGCACCCATGATGAATCACTGCTGCTCTACAAGAATTTTCCTTACCATTGTGGACTATACTTCTTTGGACTAGTGTTAAGTTATTTGGACCATATTATTTTACTTGTACACAATATCTACATTAAAGGCGCACCCCAACCTTCTCCTGTTTTTTTTTCTATTTTTATATGACACTTGCCTTTATTAGCATGGTTTGTGATAATTTTGGATAGTGGATAGTGGATAGTTAATACAACTGGTGTGCAGATTTTTGTTTAGCATTGTATTAACTATCCACATACTTCAGGTGGAAGGGGTTTTCAATCACAATTTTTCCCCACCATAATCTATTTGGATCTTGCTTCACAAGCACTACCAAGCCTCCATAAGCAAACCAGTAACCAACCTCATGCTGAAGAGTTGCATTAACAACGAAACAGCTGTCCATGAGTGGTCCATTGGTTTTGCATCTTATCCTAAATTGTTTTCCAAGCAGTTGTATACTGCAAACACAAATTAAAAGGAATCCATGTTTAAAATGGAATGAGGCAAAAATGTGATTCTTTGTTAAACTAATTTGCATATGCCCACCCAGAATCCTTTGCGGTTGCAACATCACTGCTGATTTGGGATTTCTGTGGGAAAAGCAAGTCTTATGGCTTGACTGGTGTGCAGATTTTTGTTTAGCATTGTATTAACTATCCACATACTTCAGGTGGAAGGGGTTTTCAATCACAATTTTTCCCCACCATAATCTATTTGGATCTTGCTTCACAAGCACTACCAAGCCTCCATAAGCAAACCAGTAACCAACCTCATGCTGAAGAGTTGCATTAACAGCGAAACAGCTGTCCATGAGTGGTTCACTGGTTTTGCATCTTTTCCTAAATTGTGTTCCAAGCAGTTGTATACTGCAAACACAGATTAAAAGGAATCCATGTTTAAAATGGAATGAGGCAAAAATGTGATTCTTTGTTAAACTAATTTGCATATGCCCACCCAGAATCCTTTGCGGTTGTAACATCACTGCTGATTTGGGATTTCTGTGGGAAAAGCAAGTCTTATGGCTTGACTGGTGTGCAGATTTTTGTTTAGCATTGTATTAACTATATATATAGATTGTCTTGTTGTCCTATTTTTGACCCTGAAGAAGGTCCCGAACGGGGACCAAAATGTTGGTCGTGGTTTTTTAATATTATTTGAATAAACTTTTTTATTTTAAAGTCCGGAGAGCAGCCTTCCTTCTTGTTGATCTTTACATATCTTGGAGCTCTGGTGGTGCGCCCGGTATTGGACCATCCTGTAAGCGTGAGTGCAGGGGATATATCTATTTTTATATATATATATATATATATATATATATATTTATATATATATATATATATATATATATATATATATATATATATATATATATATATATATATATATATATATTTATATATATATATATATATATATATTTATCTTGTATTATAGTGATCCAAAAAGTAGAATTAAATTGGAGAAATGAGGATGTAATTATGAAAATGGGAAAAACTGAAATGAAATGGATCTTCAATCTAAATATGTTACAGCCTCATGGCTTAAATATTAATTTTCAGCTTTGCTATTTCCTATGAATATTTAACAGCTTATAATTTATTACAAAAGGATAATTTGGTTTTATTTGACACTATCGAATGCTATATCTTCTAGCATGACCCACACACTCATTTATTGGGGACCTATGTTTGCCAAGACTTTCCCTTTAATTCAGATCGGACCAAGAGGTGACTCGGAGCTCACCCAGTCATATCACTTCCAGTACGTTCCCCAGGCAGCCACCTTATCCATATTTTACATCAATGTATAGGAGCCCCCAATAGCCGTGACCAGCTGGGCTTCCATCACTAGTTGGACTTGACCTTTTGCTGTTTAAAACGGGACTCCGTTCCCAAAGTGGGCCTAAGCGTAT